AATATAAGAAACAGTCAAACTCCTTTATGGAATATACAGCTGAAACAATAGGAGCCACCACCCAAAACAGATGCCATACAGGGCCAGTTAGAAATTGAGCTATGTGGGATGGGCTGAGGGGTTTCACTGGGTATTGTTCATTGGAGCTGTGTGTGCAATGATGCAGACAGAAACATGACAGAAGCACACAGAGGAGCAAAGCAGCACTAGGCACTGCCACAAAAGCACTAGTAGTGTGACTTGGAGAAAAAGCTAAGAGAGCTTTGGGCTAAAAGGTATCTGGAAAGGGGCATGGGACTGCGACTCCTTTGACTCGTACAGTGTTTAGGCAAACAGGACTCTATGTGCATTCTTTGACAGTAAACAATAGTGCATCAAAGAAATACCTAATTCCAACATTAATTTCTCCCACCAACAGAAATAATCCACAAGATCCTGAATTTTGGTCACCAGTGGGGCCTAAAGGTGTAGTAGTAGTAAAACTGTGGGCCAGATCCAATGCCCACTGAAGTCAGTGGAGACTCCAATTGACCTGAATGGGTTTTAGGAGAGGCCCTGTTGAGCCACAAACTGAAAGAAAACAAAAAGTGTTAATCCTTGCCCAGAAAGGTACTAATATACTTTGACTAATATACTTTGGCTTAGGTTGTGAAAATATTAATAAATGATTAAAATTATTTTTCCAACAAACCAATAGTTTATGCTTAGAAATATTAAGTGATAACACTCAGGTGATCTCTTCTACCCTTACTCCATGTATTTCCCCCCTTGTTTTCAGTACAGGAAGTCTCTCTGACAAACACACACTCACTCTCTGGGGTCATGAGGTAGGAAAGGTAAGTCTATATAAATCATTATAAATATTCAAATAAAACTAGGATCACTGGGCTGCTGCAGTGAACCCAATCTGAACTAAAATTCTCTAGTTTTGCTATCTGTCTTTTAGTAGCATTCATTAAAGTGGGGGGTGGGGGAAGAGGGCAAGCCTATAGGTGGCTAAACTGCTCTACCCAGCCCCATATATCTAAATGCCACAAATATGAAGGACTGGATAGATAAGCAAAAAGAAAAGGAGTACTTGTGGCACCTTAGAGACTAACCAATTTATTTGAGCATAAGCTTTCGTGAGCTACAGCTCACTTCATCGGATGCATACTGTGGAAAGTGTAGAAGATCTTTTTATATACACACAAAGCATGAAAAAAATATCTCCTCCCCCCACCACTCTCCTGCTGGTAATAGCTTATCTAAAGTGACCACTCTCCTTACAATGTGTATGATAATCAAGGTGGGCCATTTCCAGCACAAATCCAGGATTTAACAAGAATGTCGGGGGTGGGGGGTAGGAAAAAACAAGGGGAAATAGGTTACCTTGCATAATGACTTAGCCACTCCCAGTCTCTATTCAAGCCTAAGTTAATTGTATCCAATTTACAAATGAATTCCAATTCAACAGTTTCTCGCCGGAGTCTGGATTTGACGTTTTTTTGTTGTAATATCACAACTTTCATGTCTGTAATTGCGTGACCAGAGAGATTGAAGTGTTCTCCGACTGGTTTATGAATGTTATAATTCTTGACATCTGATTTGTGTCCATTTATTCTTTTACGTAGAGATTGTCCAGTTTGACCAATGTACATGGCAGAGGGGATTTGCTGACACATGATGGCATATATCACATTGGTGGATGTGCAGGTGAACGAGCTTCTGATAGTGTGGCTGATGTTATTAGGCCCTGTGATGGTGTCCTCTACAGCAAACAGGCAAAGATTAAGAATGAGCTCTCAAAAATGGATACTCTCATAAAAAACCAACCTTCCACACAAACTTCCTCATGGCTGGACTTTACTAAAACTAGACAAGCCATTTACAACACACACTTTGCTTCTCTACAAAAGAAAAAGGACACTAAACTTTCTAAACTACTACATGCCACAAGGGGCCACAGCAATGGTTCCCTCAACCCACCCAGCAATATTGTTAACCTATCCAACTATACTCTCAGCCCAGCAGAAACAGCTGTCCTATCTCAGGGCCTCTCCTTCTGCCCCTCCACTCCCACGAACATGATACAGTTCTGTGGTGACCTAGAATCCTATTTTCGACATCTCAAGGAATATTTCCAACATACCTCTGAACAACATACTAATCCACAGAGACCCCCCTACCAACACTACAAAAAGAAGGATTCTAGGTGGACTCCTCCTGAAGGTCGAAACAGCAGACTGGACTTCTACATAGAGTGCTTCTGCCGACGTGCACGGGCTGAAATTGTGGAAAAGCAGCATCACTTGCCCCACAACCTCAGCCGTGCGGAACACAATGCCATCCACAGACTCAGAAACAATTCTGACAGCATAATCAAAAAGGCTGACAAAGGAGGTGCTGTTGTCATCATGAATAGGTCGGAATATGAACAAGAGGCTGCTCGGCAGCTCTCCAACATCACTTTCTACAAGCCATTACCCTCTGATCCCACTGAGAGTTACCAAAAGAAACTACAGCATTTGCTCAAGAAACTCCCTGAAAAAGCACAAGATCAAATCCGCACAGACACACCCCTGGAGCCCCGACCTGGGATATTCTATCTACTACCCAAGATCCATAAACCTGGAAATCCTGGGCGCCCCATCATCTCAGGCATTGGCACCCTGACAGCAGGATTGTCTGGCTATGTAGACTCCTTCCTTAGGCCCTACGCTACCAGCACTCCCAGCTACCTTCGAGACACCACTGACTTCCTGAGGAAACTACAATCCATCAGTGATCTTCCTGATAACACCATCCTGGCCACTATGGATGTAGAAGCCCCCTACGCCAACATTCCACACAAAGATGGACTACAAGCCGTCAAGAACACTATCCCCGATAATGTCATGGCTAACCTGGTGGCTGAACTTTGTGACTTTGTCCTTACCCATAACTATTTTACATTTGGGGGCAATGTATACCTTCAGATCAGCGGCACTGCTATGGGTACCCGCATGGCCCCACAGTATGCCAACATTTTTATGGCTGACTTAGAACAGCGCTTCCTCAGCTCTCGTCCCCTAACGCCCCTACTCTACTTGCGCTATATTGATGACATCTTCATCATCTGGACTGATGGAAAAGAAGCCCTTGAGGAATTCCACCATGATTTCAACAACTTCCATCCCACCATCAACCTCAGCCTGGTCCAGTCCACACAAGAGATCCACTTCCTGGACACTACAGTGCTAATAAAAGATGGTCACATAAAGACCACCCTATACCGGAAACCTACTGACCGCTATTCCTACCTTCATGCCTCCAGCTTTCACCCTGACCACACCACACGATCCATCGTCTACAGCCAAGCTCTGCGATACAACCGCATTTGCTCCAACCCCTCAGACAGAGACAAACACCTACAAGATCTCTATCAAGCATTCTTACAACTACAATACCCACCTGCAGAAGTGAAGAAACAGATTGATAGAGCCAGAAGAGTTCCCAGAAAAGTCACCTACTACAGGACAGGCCTAACAAAGAAAATAACAGAACGCCACTAACCGTCACCTTCAGCCCCCAACTAAAACCCCTCCAACGCATTATTAAGGATCTACAACCTATCCTGAAGGATGACCCAACACTCTCACAAATCTTGGGAGACAGGCCAGTCCTTGCCTACAGACAGCCCCCCGTCCTGAAGCAAATACTCACCAGCAACCACATACAACACAACAGAACCACTAACCCAGGAACCTATCCTTGCAACAAAGCCCATTGCCAATTGTGCCCACTTATCTATTCAGGGGACACCATCACAGGGCCTACTAACATCAGCCACACTATCAGAGACTCGTTCACCTGCACATCCACCAATGTGATATATGCCATCATGTGCCAGCAATGCCCCTCTGCCATGTACATTGGTCAAACTGGACAGTCTCTACGTAAAAGAATAAATGGACACAAATCAGATGTCAAGAATTATAACATTCATAAACCAGTCGGAGAACACTTCAATCTCTCTGGTCACGCGATTACAGACATGAAAGTTGTGATATTACAACAAAAAAACATCAAATCCAGACTCTGGCGAGAAACTGTTGAATTGGAATTCATTTGCAAATTTGATAGAATTAACTTAGGCTTGAATAGAGACTGGAAGTGGCTAAGTCATTATGCAAGGTAACCTATTTCCCCTTGTTTTTTCCTACCCCCCACCCCCCAGACGTTCTTGTTAAACCCTGGATTTGTGCTGGAAATGGCCCACCTTGATTATCATACACATTGTAAGGAGAGTGGTCACTTTAGATAAGCTATTACCAGCAGGAGAGTGGGTTTGTGTGTGTGTGTGTGGGGGGGGGGGGGGGTGAGAAAACCTGGATTTGTGCTGGAAATGGCCCAACTTGATTATCATACACATTGTAAGGAGAGTGATCACTTTAGATAGGCTATTACCAGCAGGAGAGGGGGGGGGGGGTGTGTATTTTTTCATGCTTTGTGTGTATATAAAAAGATCTTCTACACTTTCCATAGTATGCATCCGATGAAGTGAGCTGTAGCTCACGAAAGCTTATGCCCAAATAAATTGGTTAGTCTCTAAGGTGCAACAAGTACTCCTTTTCTTTTAAAAAAAAGGAGTACTTGTGGCACCTTAGAGACTAACCAATTTATTTGAGCATGAGCTTTCGTGAGCCACAGCTCACTTCATCAGATGTTTACCGTGGAAACTGCAGCAGACTTTATATACACACAGAAATCATGAAACAATACCTCCTCCCACCCCACTGTCCTGCTGGTAGCAGGTTAGTCTCTAAGGTGCCACAAGTACTCCTTTTCTTTTTGCGAATACAGACTAACACGGCTGTTCCTCTGAATCCTTTTCTTTTTGTGAATACAGACTAACACGGCTGTTACTCTGAAACCTGGATAGATAAGCTAAGTGGTAATAGAATACAGAACACCTGGCCTACAGTAGACTCACTACTTCCAGTTTACGCCAGCCTGGTGGTAACTTGAATGTTATAATCGAATGTGGGGAAACTTCCTTTATTCAGAGAATCGTTCTGGGAGCTGATTCAGCTTCAAGGGCTGCATGACACTTTTTTTTTTTTTTTTAAAAAGGACTAAACTCCTTATAAAGAAAAATAATTGCAAAGGCTCACAGATTCTGTGTGCTGCTCACATGGGGCTGGGCGCGAGTCACAGGCCAGAGCTCTTTGAACTTGCCGGCTGCTGCTAGGACTCCATTGAGCCTCCCAAGCGTTCTGAAGTGCGGGATCAGGGCTTGGGCCTTGTGGGCACAGCGACTGAGGGGGAGCAGGAATAGCGGGGCCACGTTCCCTCGCTAAGCAGAACTTCCTCGCCGCCCCGGTGCTAAGCCGACGCCGGGGCCGCTGTTCGGACGCTGCGAACAGGGAGGCGCGTTGTGCGCTCACCCGCTGTTCGCGCCTCTCGCGCTACTAGGTGAGCCGTGCAGGGGGCCCGTCGGCGTGTTCGCGGATTGCGCTACACGCTGGGGGTGAGCGGGGGGCCCCAGGCCACCTGGAGCGGGAAAGTGGTTTGGGCGGGACTCGCCTGACCTTGTGCCAGGCCGCCCCGCAGCTCGGCGCGTCCTGCCGCTAGGGAAAGGCGAGTTGGGCACGGCAGCTTCTCCCTCCTGGGGTCAGCCACAGGGCGGGCCCAGGGCTGCCGAGGTGAGGGCCCGAGCGGTTGCTCCCTCAGCTCGTGTCGAACGCTGCCCCCCGGCACGAGGGGGTGCTAGTGCCGGAGGGGGGCAGGGCTCGCCCCATTCGGCAGCCCCTGGGCCCTGCCAAGGCCTGGCTAGGGGACGCCGGGGCGCAGCCCGAGGGGCCCCTCTGCCGGCCGCCTCCTGATCGCCGGGCTCCTCCTAGCGGTCAGGGGCTGCGCCCCGCCCAAACCTGCCGGCGCGGAGAAACTGCCAGGGGACACTCACGCAGGGTGCCTTGCTGCTCATAACGGCCGCGGGGCGCGGGCGCATGCGCAGCAGGCTGCGTTGGGGTCCCTGGCCTTGCCTCTGTAACCCGTGCCTGAGCCGGGCCGTTCCCATGCGGAGCGGGGGGGGAGGAACCTGCTGAATGTCCCCACCGGAGACTGGCAGTAGGCGGCGGAGGGGCGCAGTGCTGTCAGCGGTATGTGGCTGTGCGGGTAGTGCTCTGGCAGTGTGCTGCCTCCCCGGTGTCCCGAGAGATCCCTCGCGGAACCCCCTCCCCAGGCTGGATTCCGATGCCCTTCACCCAGGATTCCTCCAACCCCCCGGGGCATTTCCTCCACCCCAGGTTTATAAATTGCACCCTGTACACTCCCCATCCTGTGTCTAGATGGAGTCCCGAGAATATTGAGACCCGTTCTTCTGTCTGTGCATTTCCCTTGGTGCCTGCCTGTTTTTGTACCTTGTTGTGTGCAGGGTAATTCCTTTCCTGTGCTTCGAAAGGCTCATCTCCCTTTCCTTCTCCTTTGTATTCTTCTCCCCATCCTAACCACAGTATTTCTCTCCCCTTCCGTTTCTTCCTCTGCCCTAGGTGTTCCTTACCCTATCCTAGGTGTTTACTAAAGCACATAGTTCTATTTAAAATGTTCGTTAGAACTTCAGGATCTTTACATGGCTTTGTACTTATTGCTGTTTTGCATCTTTGATCAAATAGAATGAGAAATTTAGGAATCACTGACATGTTAATCATATATATTTTTCCTTTTCTCTCCTCTTCCCACGTCTATGAAACATATAGTTAAAGGTTTGGTCCATTCACACTGAAAATAATGTGGTTTAAATTATATAAATACATGTGTTATGTGGGGAAAGTGGGAGTTTAGTGATTTAGGGCTAGATCTTGCTAGCTGATGAGCACCTTCTATGAGAAGGTATGGCCATCAGCCCACATTTACTGCCCAGACACAAGGTACATATTTATTTATTTATTTTGTCATTAAATATTTGTATATAGTACCATAGGGGCCCATGATGTCTTACAGAAAGCATAAAAACACAGAGCCAGATTTTGTGCTACAAGGGGTTGTAAACTGGCCATGTCTCCCCATCTGGCATCTGCACCATCTCCTTAAAACCTCTCCTATAGGTGGGTGGGTAGAGGGTGTGGTTGAACCATGTTGTGTTCTGGCAATCTGCAAGTGGTAGATGGCACTTGTGTGGTATAACCAGCCAGTGTTAATTAAAGTGCATTGAGGAATGCTTTAATCTCTGCTGGGGCAGACACAAAATCTGCTCCCTTGCAGTATCCCTCCTCTGTTACATCCAGCAGAGAATCTATCCCACAGTCTGGTCCCAAGGAATTTATATCAATTTGAAGATTGACTTTATTTCCTAATTTGAGTTACTGTTGTAATATTTAACTTCTTTATAACTTTGTTCAAGCAATGTTGCTCTAGGGCAAAATCCTGGTCCTAGATTTATAGGTTTAAAGGTCAAAAGGGACCGTTGTGATAATCCATTCTAAGCTTTAGTATAACTCAGGCCATAGAACTTTCCAAATATAATTCCTAGAGCAGATCTTTTAGAAAAACATCCAACCTTGATTTTAAAATTGTTGGTGATGGAAAATCCACCATGACCCTTGGTAAATTGTTCCAGTGCTGAATTATCCTCACTGTCAAAAACGTATGCCTTATTTCCAGTCTGAATTTGTCTAGCTTCAATGTTCAGCCATTGGATTGTGGTATACCTTTCTCTGCTTAACGGAAGATCCCATTATAAAATATTTGTAACAGATTTATAGACTGTAGTCAAGTCACCTTTTAACCGTCTCTTTGTTAAACTAACTAGGTTGAGCTCTTTGAGTCTATCACTATAAGACAGGTTTTCTAATCCTTTAATTGGTCTCATGGCTCTTTTCTGAATTCTCTCCAATTTATCAACATCTTTCTTGAACTATGAGCACCAGAACTGGACACAGTATTCCAGCAGCGGTCACACTAGTGCCAAATATAGAGGTAAAGGAACGTTCTACTCCTATTCAAGATTCCCCAGTTTATGCATCCCAGGATCACATTAGCTTTTGTGGCCATAGTGGCACACTAGGTGCTCATGTCCTGTTGAAACCTACAGCAGTTTTACCTTTGACTTCTTTGGGACCAGGATTTGTCCCTTGGGGCCTAGTCCTGCAATGTGTTGTCCTGAGAAGTGCTAAGAATGCTCAACCACTCTTGGTGTTAATGAGAGTTCAGAGCACTCGCATCTCACAGGAGATACTTAGCATTTTGTAGAACTGGGTCCTTTCTTTTGGGAAAACCCCCTTATTAAATGTTGAGGGCCTGCCTCTAGAATTTATATGATAGTTTGGTCTCACTAGAACTACTCATATTTGTAAAGTTGCTCATGGGTGGAAGTATGTGCAGGATTCGGATCATATAAGAAGACACAGTCCCTTCCGTAAAGGCTTTACAATCAAAGAAATAAATCTTTATTTTAGTTTAAGAAACAAAAATATTTCTTTAAAATTGTTGATGTACTGGTTATTTTACTGTTGAATTGCTTGTATACCTTATATATATAAAACCAGTACAAATTATTTTTAGTTTTCGTTACAGCTGCCAATCCTAACGTTCCATTTTCTGTGCAGATGTCACTTAACTTGGATTCTGAAGATGACTTCTGTTTGGAAGAAAATAGATTCAAGCAGTATTGTGCAGAGTTCATTAAACATTCACAGCAAATAGGAGATGATTGGGAGTGGAAAAGTATAAAGGTATGGGTAGTAATTTGATATTTAATAAAAACGTATTGTTGTAAGGTTTTCCCTCATCCTACAGCCTGGTAAACCAACCAAGCCCCAAACGCATGCCCCATTATGCGAGGCATTGTGAAAACACATAATGAGAGACTGTTCTCACCTTGAAGAGTTTGACCTAAATAAACAAGGCAAACGCAAGGTGAGAGGATAAAGAGAGGCACTGAGAGGTGAAGTGACTTCTCCAAAATCACACAGCAGGTTACTGGGACTAGAATCGAGGTCTCCTGAATCCCAGTCTCATACAACCATGTTACCTCTCCAATCCAGTTTTCTTTTTCTGACCTCACATATTTTCCTTGTCTGAAAACTTGCACCTACTTTTAACTTAGTTGTAGACAATATCAAAATGAGACGTTCAGATGTAATTTGCCTTTTTCATTTATAAATCTTTTCCATTAATTACTGAACACACTGGCCCAGATTCTCCTCTCTGGTGTGAACATTTTGTGTCACACTGCTGGATATAGAACCTAAACCTGGGGTAGTTAGGCATGAGTGGATCACTCAAGGGTAACAAGATACATCTGGTGGGGTACAGCATGCATAGCAACTTCTAATCCACCCTCTTCCCAGCTTCTCTGTGCTGGGGCTGCATTATTGACCTTTTGTTGTGTTTGCAGTGAGCATGAGTTAGAGCAGAGGTTCTTAACCTTTTTCTTTCTGAGCCACCTCTTCCCCTTCATCAGAACGCTATAAAAACTCCATGGCACACCTGTGCCTATAAAAGTCAGGACCAGCGTTAGGGGGCCCCATGAAGCTAAGTTGCTCAGGCTTCAGCTTCAGCCCTGGGTGGCTTCGGCTTTCTGCCCTGGGCCCCAGTTAGTTTAATGCCAGCCTTGCTTGGAGGATCTCCTGAAACCTACTCGCAGCACCCCGGAGGGCACCGAACTGCTGGTTGAGAACTGTTGAGTTAGAGCATCTCTCAGGTTGCTCTCGCACACACATCAGAGAGCTTGGCCCTTTACGCAGAACTAGAAAATGCAAAGATGACTGTAGCTGAGAAACTAGACCAGTAATTCTATTTAATGACTTAGTCCCTCGCCATCCTTTTCTAAAACTTTGGGGAAAACCATGTGCAATGTTTAAAGTTATCTTTATAATATTTTAAAATACATTGAAGGCTTGTAGATCTGTGACAATACTTTCCCTATAAACTAGAATTTAAGACTCTCACTGCAAAAAAGGCAGGACTCTGGTAAAAAGGAAGAACCTGGCTTCAGCCACAAAATTGCAACTTCTCTTTAAATCACAGTTTTTTAAAAGAGTGAAAATATTAGCAAAAGAGTTACAATGCACCCTTTCATATAGGCAGCCATTTGAAACCTTAGATTTCAGTCCAAGGCTATGTGTCTGAGGAGTTTATTCAGAACAGAAAGATGCTCTGAGCCTCTATCAGGAATTCAATACTTGGGTCAAAGTTTGAACTTTCTGTGAAATAGAAGCTTGGCTGAAAATAGTGAAATGAGACAGATTTTTTTGTTCTCACATATAAAAAATGGTGAGTTTTTTTTTTTAATGGGCCAAGTTGGCGACTCTGTGATTCCAGATTGTGATAAAAACTTGGCCATGGAGAACATCCATTTATTCAGTGATAATCAGGGGAAGAAATTTCCCTTGAAAGAGATGAGTGTCTCAAAGCAGAATGGGTTATAGACAGGTTTTTTGTTGCCTTTCCCTCTCTCCCCCCCACAGTGTGTGTGTATATATATATATATATATATATGTGTGTGTCATGAACAGTTTGGTGTACTCTTAATGTTGCTGATGTCATTTACTTGGAGCCCATTCCTGCATTCCATACTCACATGAATAGCCTCTTTGATGTCAGTGAGGCTACTCATGTAAGTTAGGGTTGTAGAACTGTTAATAAATTTAGTAGAAATGAAGTTAATGATAAAACATCCAACTTTATGTGAATTAGGCTATCATGTCAAACTCACCTGGTCTAAGCAAAACCCTGTATTTATAGATGTGGAGGGTGAGGTCCATATTATGTTATAACCCTCTCTTGTCAAGGGAGAACTACCATGTGCAGTGTAGGAGTGCATCACTTATAGACCTGATGAAGCTGAATTTGGTTAGTAATACTGAACATTGCACAAATTAGGCAATTATATCTACTCTGCTAAAGCCATATATGCATTTGCTTTCATTATAATTTTTTTTCATAGGCAAATAGGTTAATCTCATTCCCGTGTAGCCATGAGTAACCATGTCAAAGGCTATTATGACCCAAATATATTATGATCTACACTTATTTTTAAGCCAATTTAAGTACAGGTGAACTGTCTTCCCTTATTTTAAGGAGAAAAGTCCCTACAAATGTATTGATTCATTTATACATAAATATATGTTGTACTAGAGAAGCTCTGTAACATGGGAGATGCTTATCTTTCTTGGGTGCCCTATGCCCAGTGGTGTCAAGGAGTGACTTCCCATCACCTTGCTGGTATAAAATAGAGATTACTAACCCCACAGATTCCTGGCTTTCATAGATATATCTTCCAGAGAAAATATAGGCTGTAGAGTTTGGAAGTATGCAGAGACCCCCTCAGGAGAAGCTGGTTCAGGGAAGTGTATATTACATGCCCACCCCTGCTCCAGAGCTCATTGTACACCCCCCCACCCCAGGGCAATTCAACCCTGTGGAGGGCAGGTGGTGTTTCTTCCATTCTTCTTCTCCAAAGATTTTTCTACCCGTGTAGGCAGGTTTAATTGCCTAGTGCAGCTCTCTAGGGGGTCCACAAATCGAAAATTATCCAGAAAGCCACTTAAGTGGACTCTCTGGCTATCCAGGTCAGGCCTATGTTTTCAGTCATTTCTGTCCACTTTTTGGATTGCTCTTATGGCAATTCATAACTGAGGCTGCAGCTCTTTCTGCCATCAGGGACATCCCATGTATAAGCACACTCTCGGTGAATTTGGCCCACTGAGATTTAGTGGGAAGACAAATATAGCATGGCAGCAAGAGAAGCTAAGAGCAAGGCAATGTCTCAAAACATTATCCGTGTTAAAAAAGTTTACTAACAAAAATATATATATAACCAGCATTATCATATTGTTTCAGGTATGAAACTTGAAAAGAACGAAGTACACAAATAGCCCATAACAGATGCTGCAGTTAAATATATTTTGTAATATAGGAAAGACGAGACAGAATGAGTGTGTCAGAATGGAACACATGTTGATTTAAAGATCAGAATAAACTAACTAAACTGTGTCAGAAATGGTAGGTTAACCAAAGAGTTAAATGATAGTTAAATTTGCAGACTTGTCAAGCAATTTAATGCTACGTTAATGAGTTTTGTTCAGAGACTTTTTTGAATGGAATCCTTTTACATCACATGTTGCACATATGCTTTCTGTGTTTGTTTGTCTAAAATAAAATGTAATGAAACAGCTAATAAAACCCCAATTTATTTGTTTCCTTTCAGAAATAAGTCCATAGCATGCAGATACTATTTATTGTTCTCCATGCATTTTTGCTGCCTTTCAGGATATGCTTTTTCCAGCAATCCATTATTAACATGTTCTCCCGTCTCTTATTTCTAATTGACAAACTCATTTAAAGGATGTAAATCAGGGTGTGAGGAAACCCACCAAAAGTCTTTCTCCAACCTTGTGCAGTTTTGCAAGGACCCTTCACAATACCTGTGGTAAAAAGGGAATGAAGTCTAGGAAGGGTCATCATGGCCATGTCCATCTTCCCCGAGTCTGAGGCCCAGGCTGTTCTCTCTTAAAGGATGGAGCAGATTGCCTCAGACAAGCACTGTTTCTGCAAGTGCACACACCTCTGGTGTGCAGAACAGCAAACTCTCCTCTTGAGTGCCCCTTATGGAGAAGTGCAGCTCTGCAGTGGTCCCTGTACAAGGCAGTGGTGTAAATGCCCATATATTGTAAAGTATATCGTATCATGCTTGTATGTTGTTTAAATGAAAAAAGCTGATCTATAAAAAAAAAAAAAAAAGATGAAAATTGTTAATCATCTGAATGATCAAAATGAGAGCATGTTTAGGGTTAATTTGGTCCCCTCACCCCAGTTCTGACTTTCTGTGTGAGACGTTATGCAATCCAAGAGGGAAAAATCCAAATTAACCCTGGGGGGGTTTGCTGAGATTAGGGAAATTTGTTTTGGTGTGACTACATGGTTGGAGGTATGCAGGTACAAGCCCTTACTACAGATATACTGCACCAGTGCAAAATAGGGCATGAATTGGTGTGACATAACCTGGGAATTCATCCAGGTAGGTGGTACTGGTGTGAGCCCTCTCTTACACCTGTACACCTTATCTAGCCTATGGGTTTGCACGGTCTACATCATGTAGCTACACTTGGCAGAAACCTTCAGTAGAGAGAGATGCTAAGTGTCTTGTTTAATTTAACCAGCAACCCCTGTTCTGTTGTCACTGTTTTTATAGATGTTATCTTAATATTGTGAAACTGTCCTTTAACTGCCTTTTTATATGCAAAAGGTTTTAGATTAAAATCTAGATTTTAATGAGCATTCAAGGGCTTTACTGATAGTGGGCTTCAGGCATTCCTCTCTGATGCAGTTTTAAGAACATTAATAGTTAGTGTTTTTTAATGTCATCAACACTCTTAATTCTGAGAAGATTCTATTTTCATCCAATATACATTAGGCCCACCTTGTGCAAATGGGACAATTTTCCTTGCCTGGAGTTGATTTGTACATAGTTCATGCCATTTTGTTGGAATAGTCTTCTTATGATTCTGTTCCTGGGGGAAAAAAAAGCTTGGTGTCAGATACTAAAAATGACTGAGACTACATTGCTCTGTCTGTCTCCTACGCACTATTTCCCATCTCCTGAGACCTTCCACCTAGGCCCTCAGCTGCTCAACTCTCTTCCAGACCTCAATTCAATGTTTTCCAATAGCTCCCTTGTGCCACCCCTTCTGGTACACAGATATCTAGCACTGATGCATTATCTTAGCAGCTGTATCATATTTTATTTTAATTAGTAGGGCAGTTGGCCTCCTCTAAAGTTGTTAGAATTACTCTGAACTGGCCATGAGGGGATACTGAAGATTAGTGCAGTTAGGATCCTCTACCAGCAGGTTCAGAACTTCGTTATGCCAAGCATTGGTGCCAGAATTCTGTGTTTTATTTATTCTGTAGAATGGTGGTAGCAGTTAGAACTTTGCATATTTAAAGGATTACTGAAAATGTTTTTGGTTTGTATTTTCTGAGCACAGGACTTTCCTGATGGTTATATGAGTAAAACACACTTCCAAATGAAAAATGGAAATACCTCATTAATTTTCAAGGACAGCACTAAGGAGAGTGATGAGCAAATATTGACACACGTTGAGGTAAATACACCTTTCTGTATTGATTTGCCTTTAAAACTTTTGTATAAAAAATAAATTATGAGCAGAATGTTTTCTATTGCTTAGAAAAAACAAAACCCACTTTGGTACCTGGTATACTAGCATGTCGTGAGACTATTCAGGTCTTGAGTGATTAGTGAGTTTGAACAGTCTTCATGTAAAATCTTATCCTCTTACTTCCAGTTTATACATGAATTGGGGAGGAAACGGAGTGGCCTCAAGGCTTAATACACACTCACAGCCTCATCATGGAAGGATAGTACTTATTTGTACCATGATATACCAATATTAAGGAAATATTGACTTCAAAAAAAAATCAAGATTTACTTACCTAAGAGATAAATATTAATCAAGGCAAAATATGAGGTCAGTTACTTTGAGGGACAGTAAATTGATATTTACTGAAATATATGAATTGTGAATATTTTTGAAAATCTGAGAGAGAGAGAGAGAGAGAGAAATCACTTCATTGTGGCATCAATTTCTTATGCAGTAAAAACTGTGTTATCTGGCACTTTACCAACCACACCCAAACTCCCTCCCTCCATATAACTCTTAGTCAAAAATTCCAGTTAACTGGCACCCTCCATTCCCCCCCCCCAACATGCCGGATAACAAAGCTTTTACTGTGTATAGTGCTTTTTTTCCCTCCGAAATTAACTTTTAAAAAGAAAAAGTAAAGTTGAGACTCATTTCTCACTGAGCTCAGAATGAATTTATTTAAATACGTGATCTGATTTTTGACATTTCTCCAGACTTTAGTATTATTTACCAATCGGGAGATACACAATAGAAACTTATAGTCTTGTTTCATGACTATTTTCAGCCAATCATAAGCCAGGGTTCTTTTTTGAGGAGTGCCCCTGTGGGTGCTCCGCTTTAGGTAAATCTGCACCCCTGCACTTGTACTCCTATTTTTGGTAGTAGTGCCTAGTTGGGTCGCACATGTGCTGTCCCCGTCTCATGCTGCTTCAAGCTGTGCGACCAACCCTCTTAGTTCCTTCTCTACTGCCCCTTGCTTGAGATGGAGCAATTGGCAGCGCTTGTGATCTTTATATTTAGTCTAGCTTTAACTTTAAAGTACTAGTTAATTAATTAGCTAATTGCTCTGTCTCTTCCCCATATATTTATTTCTTTAAAAATTTTTTCTTATCTTAGGAATTTAAGTTTCAGTTATTAGGATACCCGTTACTGTAGTATAGTTATTTCTCCCATGAGGGAGGGCCCTATTCAAAGGGGCATACCTGGCTCCCTGGATTTTAAATGTTACCTCACTTGCCAGTCGTCAATCCCAGTTTCTGATGGGCATTCAGAGTGTGTCTGCTGCCTTGGTGAGACACACATTCCACATAAATGCTCCCACTGCCACAATCTGAAGGCCTGTGCCAGGAAAACAAGGGACCTACAGCTAAAATTCCTCATGATGGAAGTTTGTGCCTAGCATCCGATCTGGGATCACGGACCCCCTCCAGGGCACTGGTCTCCAATGGCGGTGTCTGACAGAGGTTCCCCACCATTCTCTTAGAGGAAGGAGCACTCCGACAAAGAAACTGGTTCTGACCTCCTCTTCTTGGGAACCTTTCAAAAAGGGACATTCCCTGATCCATCAGCCCCCATCGGTACTGACCGCACTGAGACAGTCCACCTCTGAGGTAGCGGGAATGTCCAGTACTATGTGAACCAAAGACCTTACGTGAGCTAGCTCAGAAAAAGGCACAAAAGGGAAACCTACCAGCCTTGCCTCCGTACTGCTGGAGCCGCTCAAACATGCGGCACTGAGCAGTGCAGCAGCGCTATAGCCTATAGCGCCAACTTCTGCCTCCACAGTGTATAGTGCACGATCATTGGCACCGGCAACCATGGTAAAGGCACTGGTACTACCGACAACACCCTCCTCAGTACCGATGCTCTCGGTATCACAGCAATTTCTCTGACATGAAGACCTTTTAGTCTCCTCAGCACCAGAATCTCCACTCCTCGGTACTGACCTTACTCCAGCATGCTCGATACCATGCTAACTTACCACACTACCCAGATCAGCTCCTCCTTTATCCAGCAACAAGGATGATTAAGGAAGAGGAAATCTACTCCTCCCATCACTCCTTGCCTATCCACACAAGTACCGGACCAGGTCCACTAGAGAAACATGAATACCATCCCAGATCTGAAACTCAATGATGATACATACACCTATGGATGCTGGCACTAATGCCATTCCCACCACAGTGGCCTTACTGAGACCTATGGGCAGTGTATTGCCAACACTATCCTAAGCCTCCCAGTCCACACAAGGAGAGGTCAAGGCATTCTCCATCACCCTCTGAACCTCCGGAAGAGACAGTGGAGGAACTGGAGGAGATTTCAGATCAGGAAGTCACCTCAGCTGCCAATTTTTCAATCTCCTCTCTGGATGAAGCTATCATGCTCCCTTCACCACGATGGGGGATGACTTTAAACAGTTCCAAGAACTATTTAAAAGGATCGCAGATTCACTGAAGATATCACTGGAAAAAGTTGCAGAGTCGCAACATAAGTTGTTGGACATCCTCTAGACTTCAATCTCTTCCAAGATTGCCCTCCCAGTAAACAAAGTGCTTATGGACCCAGCCAAGACCATCTGGCAGACCCCATCAACAATTTCACCCATCTCTAAAACAGCGTATAAAAAAAAAAAAAGAAAAACTACTATGTCCCTTCCAAGAGGATGGAATTTCTATTTTTACATCCTATGCCAAACTCTCTGGTGGTAGAGGCTGTGAATGAGCAGAGGAAAAACCACCATTCCAGATCCACCCGATATGACAGGGACTTGAAGAGATTGGATCTTTTTTGTCATAAAGTTTACTCTTCAACGACTGTATAGTTCAGGATTGCAAACTATAAGCATTAGTGGCCAAATACAATCACTCCAGTTACTCAAACATCTGACTTTATTGAGGACATACCTGAGGACAAAGAGGAACAATTTAAAGCTTTCATATACAAGGGTCAACTCCTAGCTTGCACAGCTTTATAAGCTTCACTGGACTCTGCAGACACGGCAGCACACTCCATTGTCATGGCCATAGTAATGCAACAATCTTCCTAGCACTGCCTCTCAGGTTTTCCCCAAAGAGGAAAATGAACTGTTGATGATCTCCCATTCAAAGGCCCCAAGCTGTTCGCAGCCAAAACAGATGAGTTCCTTCACACATTGAAGGACTCCAGGGCAACTCTGAGATCCTTGGGCATATACACACCTACACAAAAGAAAGAACAGTGGAAGTATTACTTGACACAAAGATCTAGATCCGTGCCCTACACCCAACCTCAGAGGCAATATGGCCTGCAAAGGTGAAGGGAGAGACCTGCTGCAAGGCAGAGCCCACTCCCTTCTCAGCCCTCAGTGTCTCAGCAGTCTCCCTCTAAACAGTTTTGAGGGTTTGGTCAAGAAACACAGACACCTTCCACTTTTTCTGTTGCTGGACAATGGGTATTAGAAATCGAGACTGGCTATTCCATCCAATTTACCTCCATTCCCCCCTCCCCACCCTCTATCCCCATTCCTCTTTAGGGGCCCTTCTACTGTGATAGGAGGTAAACCCGTCTCATATGCCTAGGCATAGTAGAACCAGTACCAACACAACACAGAGGGAAGGGTTTCTACTCCCATATTTTCTAACCCACAAAAAAACCCCCAGAGGATGGAATCCCATTCCTGACTTAAGAAGACTCAACAAATTCAGAAAGACATAGCGATTCAGGATGGTCATGCTAGCAACAATAATTCCAGCATTAGAACGAGGGGATTGGTTCTTGGCCCTCGACCTCCAGGATGCATATTTCCACATAAAGATACATCCCTCACATAGGTGGTTTCTCATATTTGCTCTGGGAACAGATCGTTTCCAAAGTACTCCCTGTCAGTTTATCTATGGCTCCAAGGTGATTCTCAAAAGTTCTTGCGGTGGTGGCAGCTCACCACTGCAGACAAGGGGTCATAATATTCCCTGATCTGGATGAGGAGTGCTTACTCAAAGCTTCAATTCAAGAAGGGGCCCTAGCAGCTACTGAAAAGACACAGCTACATCTACAAATAAACGAACATAAAACAAAAAACAAAACAAAACACCCCAACGTTCATACCTGTGCAGAGACTGGAGTTCATTGGGGCCTACCTTGACTCTCTGGTAAATCTGGGCGGAGAGGCTGTAGCTTCCACTCTAGTCAACCTAATTGCTATAACGTAAGCCCGCCCACAGACATCGGCCAGGACTTACTCCCAACTGTTAGGCCATATGTCAGAAACAACATTTGTCATCATCACACCAGACTGCATATGTGATGCCTTCAAGGCTGGCTCAGGACAGTATATTCCACACAGACAGTATAAACAAGTGTCTTACGATGCCAACCAAAGTAAAAAATTCTCTACGTTGGTGGACTCAACCACATAACGTTTGCACAGGAGTTTCCTTCACACAGACTACTCCATCGATGATATTCACAACAATACTTTGTTAGGTTCAGGGGGCACCTGCACAATGACACGATCCAAGGCCTCTGGTCCCCATTGGAATCAACATTACACGTAAATCTGCTGGAGCTGCGGGCAGTTCATAAAGCATGCTCACACTTCCTACCCATGATCAGGGACAAGGCCATAAAGGTGCTGACGGACAAGATCACTGGTATGTTTTATATAAACCACCAAGGAGGGGCATGGTCATATTCCCTGTGCACAGAAGCCATGCTACTATGGAACTGGTGCATCTACCACAACATCATCATCTCAGTCTCCTGCCTACCAGGATGCCAAAACACCACTGCAGATGCACTGAGCAGAAAGCTTTCCCAGCACCATGAGTGGGAAATGAACACCAGGGTACGACAGAACATATTTAGACACTAAAAGAAAAGGAGTACTTGTGGCACCTTAGAGACTAACCAATTTATTTGAGCATAAGCTTTCGTGAGCTACAGCTCACTTCATCGGATGCATA